TCTCTGCGGTCGTAACCAGGACGACGTTGCTCTAACAAGTGGTTTCCAGAACAATCGTTTCTCTGGCAACGTCGTGACTATATTGCTCCACCTAAAACCTTCTTATTGGTCAGAAACGCCCTAGTTACGCCCTCGTTTGAATCGTGTAACACCCATGTACAACGCTGCCATATTTTATTAAAAATATAAATCATTGCGGATGTTTAAAAAAGTTATTTTTGTGTTTTTGACGTAAATACGTCTATATTTTAGGGTCAGTGTCATTCCGCAAAAAAGTGTAACGTGTAAAGTGTAACGAAAAAGTGACAGGTAAAAGTGTTAGAAAAATGTGTAAGATGGTTACCTAGGAAATATCAACAATTTGTAAATATGGACTGACAGCAATGGTTACCTAGGAAACGTAATCTGTTTATCAACAAATCGAAAATAATGGTTATCTAAGAAACATCTATTTACTTGGCATTTTTGTTACCTAGGAAACGTCATCTGTTTACTCGGCATTGTTGTTACCTATAAAACATTACATTACATTAAATTATATTACTTTACATTATATTCAGCTACCACAGAGCCATCTTAAGCGTAACTAATTCAAGTTGATTTAGCAATGTCTTAATCAAACTTATCTCAATTGTAAAGCATGTATAAAGGAAATATTTAGAATAAAGCCAATATATAAACTTCCTTTCCGTACAGACGTATTTACGTCAAATTCTCCGGAACAATTTTTCCACTGACTATTTTTTTACAAAAATTAGCAAACATATAACTTTAAGGACTTCTGTTCAGAGTTAACGCGACTTGACGCCCGAGAGGACTTTATCACGAATCAATAAATAGTAGACATTTATCTGTTCAATAAACATGGCACTATCACCAAGTTCAATTACAACTCGACAGTATGTGTACACTAAGTTAGTTAACATCCGAAGTAACAGATGATTATTTACATCTCGGAACATCATTTACAGATACGGTACTCTAGAAGTTTCTATACGAACGTCTCATCTAGATAATGTGCGTTCTGTAGTTCTTATGGAAAAAACATTTTTATTATGATATGATCTGCTGTCCATTTGCAAGTGTAACATCAATGATAATTTATATTCTTGCTGGTACGTTAGCCTACATTCACAATAGTTTACTAAGACGCAAACTTAAAGAAAGATTTGAGATTTTCACGACTCGAGGCTACAAATCCTATCGGGAAATCAATCGTTCCAATGCTGATTTAGAAATCAACATCCGCTTGGAGAAAGTTACACGAAATTTAAAAGACTCCGGGGTAAATCAATTTGACTTACATTTTATAACTGCCTACATAAATTATTGTTCTAAGCAAGTATTTGGCAAAATGGTGCTGAGGAAATATTATGACCTAACACAGAAGAAATTTGAGGAACTTGAGGAAATCTGAAGAGCATTATAATTTGTTCTCTTCGCCGAATTTTATCAGGGCACTCAAATCAAGATCAAGACTTAGGCATAGGTGAAAGGTTAATTTTAAAATTAACCTTAAATAAGTGTTTTATCTAGATGAGCGACTAACCACTTCTCAAGAAGGACCCTGCTGGAGTTAGTTCGCTTTTCTCCGCCACCTTCCACTTAGTTCATCTTATCACCTCACTGCTCCACAGACAGACTTTAAAACAAGAAAGGGAAACTACTGAAAAAAATTAATTCATCACCACTAATATGAAAGCTTCATTCTTAACAGAACACAAAATGATAGTGATAACAAAAGAGGGTGATTAAATTATTTGAGCAGGAGTGAGAGTTTCCTTCCTCCTCTCATTTTGCATCCTTTGTCCTCTTGTCTCTTACTCCTTTTCTTCATCAACTCCTCGTCATTAATCACCACAGTTCACGTCTGCCCCCTCCACTATACACACAAGTCACGTGACCCCACATAAACCTCAACTCTGATACCAAGTTTGCAGTGCAAAACAGGCATTTGGTATCTTCCTTCGTAAGTCCCTTTTCGAACATTCTGTTCTAGCCCACGGAGTGAAGGAGTCAAGTCAGTTCTGTGCACAACGTTGAAAAACGAATATTATTATTTGTATACACGCTCTGTCGCTGTCTAAGTTAATCTCCCTTATATTGCAGCTTTCGAAATGTAAATAAACATGTTTTGACAATCTTAATGTTACTATAATAACATATTCGCGTCGTACAGACGTGACACATTAAGGGTCACAGTACTGTAATTGTTTTAAAAACTATCATAAGTTATTGGACATATCTCTCATTACTATTCTTCCAAATTATATTCAAGAATTCTGTCTGTACCGCTAAGAAAACACAACAATTTTCTCTATTACTAAGATGAACTGGTTAACGCTGTCTAAGAAAATAATTTGTATTTGTTCTGAGATTCATACGAAATGTATAATAACGAAAATGGATAATTGCTGATTGCGAAATCAGATGGTACATATAGTTACCACTAGACTATAAATCATTAAACACTGCTTGTATCTTTGTCTACAGTGCTTCGATTAAAGCAGCACTGATCGTCAACAGTTATATGATTTATGAGAAGGAACAATATAATTTAATGAAAATTTGGTAGCTCAATTTAAACAAACACAGAACCGTGTTGACTTATGTAAGTTAATAAAGTAGGAATTTTATTTGTTTATTAGTTAGCAGCTCATGAACACAGAATTGTATCCAGATAGTACAGCTACACTGCAACATATCATCTCTTATCAAAATTCGTTATGTCTAGACAATTGAAGATCTATGTCAGCAGATTTTCGACCATTAATTTAATGTAAGTACCATCATAACAACGAAAAATGTTCTTAATTAATGAAGTGCGAAGCATTACACTTTATTTTTATTCAAAACGTCGCTCTAGAATCGCAAAATAACAGCAAGATCTCGCATCTTCAAAAACGCATCAGATAATGACCTAAATGTTGTAAGCTACGGTAGAAAATACATCTGAAAATTGTATTTAGACACATATTCCCCTGAACCTTCGAGAAAAAAGTTCCACAGCGTTTATTCCAGCTTTCAGAACTACATTCATGGTCTTAAAATAATTTAACTGAGGTTCTTTTAATTCTTGAGGCTAGATATCTACAGTAAGCCTACTGACATGAAACGTTTTGTGCTCTTGCGTCATTCTTGCGCAGAGCAGTCGCTATGCACCTTCGTTTGTTAGCCCGTAGTGACAAGGTATTACTGATGATGTGAACAAGGGACTGTAACATGACCACTAACACGTATCACATACCAACTCCGCCATCTGTAATACTGCAACGACTAAGGACGCTCTGCCACAATTAACCTGATAACTCATACGTCAGATGGCTCCACTGCTCGCACGTATTACAATATATTAGTCAAGTCACAAATTCGCATACATTTGTTTCGTGTAATGACACACCGCGAGACAGATGTATCTTTGTCAGACGATTTGATGATAATGGATTACGAATTATTGAGAATGTGGGCTCGATTTTTTATCGTAACTGCAGGATGTATCAATTGAACGGAACGTAACAGCAATAACACACTATCGTATACAAATGAAATCAGAAGAAGGTACACTCTCCTGTAAATCTCCAGTTAAGATCACCGTTATTTCTAGACCGCTGCTCAAACCGGTTGTGTAAAAGTTGTGCAGGCCCCAAAGTGGAGTAATCACATTCAGAACGCGTGTTCATTATCGATAATTACCTCACACATCGAAATTCCTTCCTGTCTTTAGTGAAACATAAATACTGAAGATACTGCTGCCTACATGGACCGAGAAACACTTTGCAAAGTCACATAAAACAAATTAAAAACACAAGTTAGTGCTTTATTCTAAATAAAAACTAAAAAAAATTAACTTGTTACACTAAAGTCAACAAAGCTTACAAAAACTGTTGTAATTAAGGTTTTAAATGTAAAACACCCTACATAGTTTTATGCATACAACAATTCTCTGGAAGTGTTCCGAAATTTAAGGAAGCAGTTCGTTCCGTACCTGAGGTACAACAAATTAAGAATTGTAACTGTTACATCCCAATTAACAATTAAATAATTGCCCTTTGAAAGATAGAACTAAATGAATAAACTTGTAGGACTGCAACAAACGTTACTTGATCTGCAGGACTGTAGGACTGTAGGACTGTAGGACTGCAACAAACGTTACTTGATTTACGCTCCATCATTAGAAGCTGCTACTTCAAGGTCTACCGAAAGACCACATTCGACGATAAGCGATATGTCTTCCCTCCAGCGTAGCCTATAGTACGAAAATTCGATCATCATAAGTGCAGTAGCGAAGGATTTAGGTCGCTTGTTGACTCGTTCCGGTCTGAATCATCCAGAAATCTCTTTAAAGATCGCATTCGGTTCCTTAACCCACGTGGTTTGTAGTTCCTTAATAGTTTAGAAAGTCTCTATCGTTGTTTTTTGTCAACATGTTGAATCCAACTGCGTGTTTGAGGATTGGAAATAATGGTAAGTTGTGTGGACTTGCATGGAAATATCAACGCTGCAGAGGATCGTACTACCTTAGCTTTTGGCTGCTGATTATTAATCTGGTTATGAAAATGCTGTCTTCAAGACTGCAGAGAGTTTTAAGCATAAACAATTCCTTTCATGACTCGGTCTTCAAAGCCTCGTCTGAGATTATTTTACGTTTTAACTCTCCGCTTGCAAACACTTAGGCTGATTTCTGTGCAAGATACAACAGCTGTAGACCTACAGTCTTGTTAAGAAAAAATATTAAATTACAGGTTTAACGCCACTCTAGATATGATCTTGCATTCTGGCATTCTAACAACCTATGAACCCACATTTTCTGCGTATTCTGCAGTATTTTTTCGCTTAATCAACAATTAGCCTATTACCGTGACTAAAATATTGTCTCTCGCGGAGACCGAACAATGAATCGAATTTACGAATGGAATAAAGGATATCTTTTGTTTCTATACATAAGCAAAGATATATCGTCTGTTCTATAGGTCCGACTTTCAAAGTTTTATTTTATATTCCTGTAATATTACAAAACGAGTGATAAAAAATCCTTTGCATGAGAACGCTCATGTAGCAAGTATTCACTGAATACAATCCATCCGTTTCTCTCCTATAAAGCTGGGACGTTTGCCCCTCAGTTCTCCCTTGTTGACGGAGGGCTGGAGGGAATTGAGCTGCCTCTGAAAAAAGCAGGAACGCAGGGTGGCGCCAACCTGGCTGTTCAAACAACATAGCAGCTATGCAGCAGTGAAAGAGGGTGAGTTCTGGGGAGGGACTGTGGTCAATGGACAGATTTTAATTACATCACAGACCCTCTTCACATCCTGTCCCTCACTCTCAGCCACCGTCCCCGGGCTGCAGTTCGTAACAGAGTAGGCGTAATATTTCCGGCAATACAGGACGCCTTCAGAAGAATCCTAAAAACATATTCGCAAACTGTTATCACATTTAGAAGCCGAGAACTTTCCCGTTTGAAGAAATTAATCCTTTACTACCGAATGGTAAATATCTGTCTCACTTGATTCAACAATCAATAACTCCGGATTTTGTATTTTTCGGTTCTGTATGATTCGAAATGCAAACAGCGGTTATTTTCTTAAACATCATAAACAAGTTAAATGGAGAAGTGTTGTGTTTTATTTGTGGTTCGGACACATTTATTAAATATTATTTAGATAGTTCAGGCTTCAAAGCGTGAAACATAGCGGTATTCAAACACCTCGCACGTCTCCCAATGAAAACACCTGGATCCAACTCGCCATCAACTTGTTCTTCCTCGGTCTAAGTAAGAGAAATACAAATTAAAGGCCAACAGCTCAGATGCAAATGCAATTAGTAAACCAGAATTCAAGAAACTCAGACAGCAAATAGCAGGATTAAACGGAGCAGACATTAGAGCTCCAGTGCGTATCCGTTCCCACTGACTGACTGCAGAACATCAGCCTGCACAATAATGTTTAGACTACTGACACGACGGTCATGTCGGCGGGGTTGCCGCTGCAGCCTGACGTGACCTACATCTGCACAAAAGAGAGAGACGTATACATTTGTCAGGTTAGAAATTTTCCTAGCAATTATTCCAGAAACGCATTTGCGCCTCTACAGGATAACTTAATATTTATTCCTATTACTTCTTTCAGAGTCTTTAACTATTCTTTCAAATATTTTAATGTTGAAAACTTCACTGTTTTCGTGTTTTGTATTGATAATGACTCTCTCCATGAGTATAATTATTTTTACGCGATAACTGTAATTTAACCTACTCTTATTGAAAATATATTTCAATAGCTGTACTGTGATAATTATGCTGAAGATAAAAAAATATGTGACATTATAAAGAACCTATAGTCCCTACTTATGTTCTCTCACTATCAAATGCACAACTCAAAAACCCTTGTGTGAGCAAAATAATTAAAATGTGTTTAATAGGACCCAAGACTTAACAACTTGAAACAATTGTACCTTCACGTAAGAAGATAAATTATTGGTTTATAACTCATTGCCGTTCACTTTTTATCCAGTGAATAAGTATAATGTAAAGCAATATTTAACCAAATATTTCAAATATAAGATTAAACAATTTAATTAACTTGATTTTAATTAACGAATCGCTGAATACACAGTGGTATTAACTGACAGCCTGAGTGGATTTAGAGATCTTGCTCCTACCTGCTATTATGTGACGCATCAATAAAGCCAGCCCAAATAAATGAACTTGTTTGAACATCAAATGTATGGACTCAACTGCACGTGTTATTGACGTATGTACTTCCTAAGGTCTAATCAGTGTTTCCGTGCTACTGTATTTCCTGCAGCGGACGGATAATAAGTATAAAAGGGAAACCCTTCTCGACAGCTAGCTCAAATAATTGGAAGCGTTTCCAGGAAAACAGAGGCGATATGTGAATATGGCAGCGCACACGCGCTGATCCAATATTTGAGAAGGATGAGACACGAAAACAACTAATCGCTTTAATATACATGGAACTGTGTAATGTTCCGTATCAGAGTTACGAGTGCAAGCTTTATATTGAAGATTTCTGTCTTCTGGGTTGTTGCGCATGTTTACCAATGTTTCAGAGGTCATATTGTGGTAACAAATTTTAGGAAACTTTCTGATATCAAACCATAAAAATCCGGTCAGTCGACCTCAAGTTGTTACATGCCAACAGACGGACCGACAGATAGACAGCAAAGGTAATACGCACATTTGTGTAAAATTTAGTTGTGTATGAGTCATAAAACGTCCAAAGATAAATACAAATACAGACAGCCAAATGTTTTAACACTGTCACATCTTTTATGTGTTTATCATCTACGTACTACCCACAACTACACGAATCTACGGACATTCCAGCATTCAGAAAGGCATATCTAATAATGAACCATAAATATATAATACTGAATTAAGCTGTAATACCAGCACCAAACACATGTACTTGGGAAAAACGGTTATAAACAAGCATTCATTAAAAACAATTTTGTTCTGTCATCCTACAGTGCGATCCCTAGGCTGGTTAGAAATGTAAACCTACTTGTATTACAAACATTTGATTTCGTTCTGACAAGATGTGTTGAATTTATGCCAGTAATTACGAGAGCATCTGCATCAGATAAACAAACTTCACATGTATCGCTTTGCATCAAATTAATCGAAAATCGATAACAAACTCTAAGCTTATATAACTGGAACGTCATTCGTGTTGTTATTATCAACATCATTCGTTTCCTGTGTAAATGAAAAAGAAATTTAAACACTACTTAAGGTTTATACAAACGTCAGAATTTACCTTCGAAGAGCACAGATTTTGCTGAAAGAAACTTTAGTAAATTAGCGGATCAACCTATTACCATCATCATCATTTCAACCATCACTATCATTAACGGCATTTTGAGTTTGATGTTTTTCATAATTCTTAACTGATTCTTTAAATTTCAGAACACTTTATTCCAGACGACATTTCGAGGAGTAGCAAGATTTGTAAAGTCACACTTACTCCTGTTATTACTTAAGTACCCCGCCATTACGACGTATGAAGGAGGTGTGACTGGACCAAGACTTTGACCACGACACTAAATGAAGGTGAGCAGTCACTTGCAGGTTTCAATTCGTTCTTCTCGGGACACAACCTCTGATATGCAATGACAAGAAATCTGAGTAGACCGCACGGTAAGCTCCCATGACGAAGGAAAGATGCATCTTGTCACTAAAGGATATCGAACCCTAATATACCAGTCCGAAGTTACTTACTCTCCTGACTAAGTTACAAACGTCAAATCTCCATTAATAAAAGCGGCATATGCGTTCATCTTTGTATGCGGAGTGTTATTACATTACACTACGTTCAGTGTAGATTGAACCTATTTAAAACTCCTTGCATAACCAGACTAGATGCGTGAAAATAGCTCTAGCTGTCCGGGATAACCTAATATAGAGAGTCCTTTTACGCTGAAAAGGGAGACCGTTGGGGCGTGGGGTAAGTGAAGAAGGAAATTCAGGTTCAGAAGACGAGAGAATAGGTAGAGAAATGCGTATGAACAGGTTCACAGAGGAGGGAAGAGTAAAAGGCAGACCTTCTAGTTAAATGGGTCTTAGCCATAATGGGATTAGCTCGGAAGGCTATTGAGGAAGACACACTGGGCCCATTTCAAAGTCTTACTACCTCCAGGATTGAAAGTACGGAGAAATTGGGGTAGATGGAGGAAGTCATCTTGTACAAGCCAACTGAAGCACTTCTGGTTTCTATACCAACAAAACAATCTTGCGGCAAAGGTTCGGTTAAACTACGCTTAGGTTGGCCTGCAGTAACACAACCAGGGAGGGAATTCATTCCAACGTTGTTACTGGTCTCTGTCTTGACAGATCTACCAAGCTTCTTCAGGTACTGTCCTGGAAATGTAATAAACTTCTGATGCGGCATACAAGGCAATGCTTTTAAGAATTCAGAATATGGAATTTTACACAATACGCATCCCTTCGTAATATCAGGTTTTTACGGTAATGTAAATGTGGAAGGAGTTCTGCTTTGTGATGCCGTGTAGGTTATAGAAGCGTATCACCTCCATATTCAGGATAGTAGAAAACACTACATTATAACCCACAACTTCAGAATTGATTATTTTTTAATTATTTCTCAAAAAACCGACGCGTTTTGAGTATGCTGAAGATATACGATTATATATTTTTTAAATTATCTCATCCGGCCATGAAAATATTAACTTCAGTCATGGAAGACGTCAGTACCTTTACAATCAATGCTGAGATTAATTAGATATCTGAGAATTCGACTGTAGCTCTGCTGGTTAAGAAACATAATTAATTAAATATCTGAGAATTAGACTGTAGCTCTGCTGGTTAAGAAACATCCCCATTTTACGAAACCGGACGATTATGTAACGTTTTGAAAAGGGACCACCACCGACTCCATCATGCAGTATATGTTAAAACGCTAATTTTAAGACTCGTTTTAATATTATCATTTAATGATGATACAGAATAGTAACATGCATTTATCTTAATCCTCTAAAGCCGAAGATAGTCGAAATAATATTTAAAAACGCAAACATAACTCTTCGCATTTAGTAATATCAACTGGATTTGGTGTTTAAGGAAATAATGACTTATTACGGTGAGAATCATACAAAGCGTACAAACTAGAAATGAATAGTTACTGACTGTTGAAGCATTTGGGACACACAACTGACACTCAACTTTAAATGATTGATTAAACTCAGTTCATGTTAACAATTTTTTGTTAAATGAATTGAACATCATTTTCTGCCCTTATTACTTAAATATCATTGTGCCTCATTCCAATTTTCCAACACTGATACACCAATTTCGATTAAACAGCATTCGAAAAGCTTAAGATCTTTGAACTGCTAGTACACACTGTCTACTCTCAGATTTCGCACTACGTGGAACAAAATTCTCTATTCTTTCTGAAACCCATTTCCTACGTAACCATCGCAGAATACATACTAGGAATTAATGAGTATAAATCAAGAAACCTTCTGTGAGATTATATTTTTCATCTTTCTCCCCTTATTTGCTAAGAAAGCCATTGCGCTCCGAGACTTTTAGGTGGATTTGCTGCAGAATCCTAGAGCTGCTGGCATCACGGCAGTGAATACTAACGCCTTCGCGGTGACATCAGGATATGAAGGGCTCCTGAGTGCAGTAGCGGAATAACCAACAATAAAATACGACGTTAACACTTAATCATGTTTAAATATTAAGATAAATTTATCTTAAATCACTATTATATGAAACTTCGTTCTGAATCTCTAAACGTTGTTTAACATTTCTTTCACTAAATATGTAAACACCATTTTGTATTTCACGGATCAGGTTATGGGTTAATATCTGAGACTATGTCCTATTATTGATACTATTATGTTTCACAGCAACTAAATTATTTTAATTTTGAAAGACGTAATCTTTATATCTTTGTTTTTCCTCTGAATTATTTAAATATCTTTCCATAACTGACTCCATTTTCTAATACAGTGCATCTTTTACATCTTTATTTAACCAGAGGGAGGATATTTGGTTTATTATGATGTTCATATCTGTCAACAGGTTTATCCAAGTAAGGGGTAAAATTCTTATTTCGAAGAGCGTGAGAGAAATAGCACGCACATCTGCAACACGCCGTCATAGCTGCTCCCGACAATAACAACATACAGGCGTGTACGCTGTTGTTCTTTGCACATAATAGACTACAAGTTTCCTTCATGCATTAATAACTGTAAGTACGTTGCATATCCTTGTAACTCTACACACATACTCCTTTAAAGAGCTGTAATATTAATTAAAATTAATTAAAAGGCGTGTTAATTAACAAATTAAAAGAACTGAACTTCTAAAATGTGAGTTATAAAATTAGAACCCAAATATTAAAATTAACATCAAGTCCTCGAACAATACCATCCCAATCAACGATTTAAATTCCATACGAAGTTATATTATTTAAACATAAAAGAGCTCAATGTGATAGAAGTTTGGAAACACACTGAGTAACGTGGCAGTCCAAGGCGTAAGGACACTTTCCTAAATTAGGGAGCACTGCAGACAGTAAGAATATGTACGATGTTGCATTTTAAAAACCTTAATTATCCAGTCTACTACAGATACCGCTTAATACAAGCAAATATTTTATAGACCGCGTCTGTAAAATGACTGTTTAGTACTTGCATCAAATACGTTCATTACACCTGACGTTTAGCAAAGTACCAAGCTTTGCAGATGTATAGAGAAATGCACGTATAGCTCCACGTAATTTTGATCCTGGCACACACACACACATACGAACGAATGCACATGCACACATGTATATACATTAGACGTACACAATTAATTATTCATGTTTAAATTAATTAACGAATATCTGCATAATTACGGTTAACACAATGTAGTAAACAATTGTTTTATATTTGTGAAAGTTCGTTGTTCATGACAATGATAATACGATTTTAAAATTAAGAACTTTTATACTGTAGATTTTAATGCTGAAAAAAGTGGATAACGTTCAAATCACAACACACATCAACATAAATCTAATTACAAGTTTTCAACAACAAAAACAACATTTATGAAATAATAATAATAATTATAATCCGAAACAAAAACGGAACTTGCCTCTTCATTGACATAGCAATACCGACTGACAGGAATGTGATTAAGAAGGAAGGTATGATGTATGTGGCACTTGCTAAAAACAATATGGATCCCGGAAATAGCTGCTGCCCTATGTACCTTAGGGACAAGGTCTGTCTCGGGTACACGGAAGTACATACCCCATAAAGTGGTGAATAGATGGGATAATAATAATAATAATGACTATAGAAGAGATGCATGAATCGTTACGTTGAAGACTTCGTGTTTAAATAGGGCAGCAGTCTAATTTAAAGGCTTAAAACTAAAATTAGAAATTTGTATGAAGGCTTACCGGGATTATCGGGATAAGTGTAGTGTTAATCTCGCCACATTAAAGGATCTGTACCCCTAATTGATCAATTGTGGAGTACTTACCTGAAACAAAAGAGAAACAACATGATACTTTAAGTTACACCAATATGTTGAACTCAGTCTTCGGAATGCAATGTAAAACACTAAGAAAAACAAGTGTACAGAAATCACAAGAGTACTTCGATATCAGTTTATTTCTTTATTAAACTTCTGAGGTTTCGCCTTTTTCTTCCAATTACGCGTTTCTGAAAGCAGAATGACCTGTCTATTTAGAAACAGAATTTAGTCAAACTACAAGAGTCAGCTTTCCTTGGCTAGAGGGGGAGGGGGGTTTATTTTGATTTTCTGATGTATACGAGATATATGTAAGTGTAAGTACGGTTGCTGGCAGGAACTTACCAGTGGAACGTACTCAGGTTGGGTTCGAAGTCCTAGTTTAGAGACCTACCAACGTCTTGCATGCGGTAAAACACCTAATAAGTCACAATTTTGTGCAAACGCGTTTGGTCCATCTCCATACAAAATTTCACATTCCTAGCTGCAGCTGTTCATTATTTAGGTTAGAAGCTAATGGTCTTTAACCGTTAACCATAAAACGAAGAGCTAAAAGGAAACTAAGGATTCATACTTGAATCAGACGTATTGTCATTTTACATTGTACAGAAGAATTACTTCAACAAAAGTCTACATATTTCATATTGGGATGTAACTTTATGTCAAAGGTCTAAAACGCCCTAGAAATTAAGTGTAGCCAAACAACAAACATATGAGACATTAATGATACATTGCTGCAAATACGTTCCCTGTGTATCTTCTTGTATGAAACACATTTTCTGGTAATAATAATTTAAAATTAGAGCACTTTGTATGTGCAACTACAAGAAGTAAAGGAAAGGATTAAAATGTACCTCCACACGTTCAATGAATCTTATAAAAGCAAAGATGTGAGAAGATACATGTGCAAATTATGCTCTTTGAATGTATCACAGAAACAAGATGAAATTAATACATTACGGGACAAACTTTTATCCGTAGCTTTAAGTAGGGATTACAAATTCAAACAGCTTCACGATAAATTTAATGGTATACCAGCCGAAAGGCAATATTCCTATTGAGACACTAGGACTCCTGTAATGCGAATACATCACAAGTTCTCAGTCTGTATCACATGCAACTATAAATAAGGACCTAACTGGTGGAAAATACGAAATATTGAAATATAACCGTCTTAACTTCAGTACTTTAAGCTGATTTAACTCCAGTGAAGCATAAATGAGTAAAGGGTGGAATACGAAAGGGCGTCTTATTCTAGCAAGTTACCGTACACAAATATTCTAGGTGTTACTTCTTTATAACGAGAACGGTGCTTAGAGTTCTCATGCAAAGATGAGCGGGCACACGAAAACACAAATTACAGTGCTTCTGGTATAAAATGTAGTTTAAAATAAAATTTGAATATTACAGAATATTTTTCTTCGTTCATGAAACTGCATTGTAATTAATAATCAGCAATGACTCCTGTAGAAAGAGGTTTCCTTGTAGAGTTCTTGAACTAAATATGGCGACAAGGAAGACAGTAGAAAGCTTGAATCCTAATAAATATTTAAAATCTTGTGTCGACCTAATTAAACGTACAGTTACAATCTGACACGGTATTTTGTATGGACAGTGAAACTTAGTATTTCATATAAACAAGGAAACACGTAGTCTATTGAGAGTTTTGTAGATCAGGGTACTGAGAAATGTAATTGTACCTAGGTGAGGGAAGCAAGCGAGCTTTGAAGAAAAATACACAATGAGGAGTATCAAACAGTGTAATAAATACATGGAGTGGAGTTCTTATTGGAAGGCTTAATAACAATTCAGCTAGCCATCTTACGTTCCGCTCTTCACCGAATATTATTACGACAATAACATTGAAACGGATGAAAAGGATACGTCGTACAACAAATGCACACAAAATTTTAATCTTATAACCACAAGTGGATATACTGCTTTGAGGACCTTTACGTAGAGGGGAATATAATATTAAAAATTATCTCAAAGAGACAGGGTGTATGGCAGTGTATGGCTGGATTTCATCTAATATCGGTCTATTGTAAATAGGATAATACATTTTCAGATTCCTCAATAGGCACAAAATTTCTTAACCAGCAGCAGAGCTATCAGCTTATCTAAAACAAAAACAAAAAGTACTTTGATTCGTGATAGCCTGTAGAGGTGATTTGTTTATGAATGTATATGACAGTGGAATTTTCAACTACAGTATACCAGATTTCGTACGTACTTGATAAACCTTTATATGTTAAAATGATTTAAACGATACTCCATCAATGTTAAGCTCATCAAAGATACTTCACGCAGCTCAAGACACAGGCTATTATTTCAGCTCCGACGGGAGGGAGCGTAGAAAGACCTAAAAGAATGACGGTGTCACGTGATTACTTATAACAGCATAATATAAACTGATGATGATGAAAAAAAATATATCGTAAAACGCGAACTGCAGAAGAGAAACGACGAAGCATATGTACAATCGCAGAATTATTCCAGAGAAAACGAAACCTTTGTCACAGTTACTGCAATGTGATGAGACTGCTGTCTGGTCAGAAGCAGCGGCGTTTGACTGAATTAGATCACCCGGTTTCATGGTCGAGTACCTGGCAGGGTATTTCAGCGACACGAAAATACTTCGAACAACAGGGAACAGGAAGGCTGCTCTTTTGTTTCATTTTGAAATTAATTAATTCCCTGTTATAATTAACATAGCTTAAGCTTTGTATGTTTTCACGCTAGAGAGATACTTCCGTCTTGGAAGGAATTCAAACTGAAGTCGCAAGTTTGGAACAACGCCATTACTTGTCGCAGCTCACGCACAGCATCGTGTGTTCTTTACACACGTGTATAAGTAAAAGACACCATTTTCTCTGTATCGCATGAATTACATCATATACAAAATCATATTTTCTCGCCAGTTCTCTTCATTTCACTGAGTCTGGCCTAGTCTGTTTACTACGACAAATTTTTATATTGAATAAAGCAATTTACATCAGTATCAATTTCTTTATTTGTTATACAGGCCTATTTAACGCGTAAAGCAATCGCTGAGCAGTGTCGTGGCTTAAATAATAGAAAACACTTTTGATTTTATAATTAATATTTCGTACTTTTCCCCCGTTTTCACTTTTGATAAAGTGAAAAAGAGACTACGCCTATAAACATTTGTTATTTTTAACAGGATTTTTATTTAGGCAGATATCTCAAGAAATCTCGAGAGAAAAACGATCACTTTCGCCAATTTAACTTTCATATCCCATGATGGCGGAACGAATAATTTTATATTAACTTCGCCACCGACTGAATGATTTCTTAACGCATTTATCCCCCCTAACAACTAAGATTTGTTTCTTCCACCTTTATCTCTGTCTACCAAATGGCACTTTTCCGAGATAAATTCTCATTAAAATTACGTTATCATTTCATACGCCTCGCTCGCAGATAATGCGGTATTATCTACGAATTAGATACTTTTGTTGGGCATGACTGTACTTGCAAAACAACAAGTGGTTGTGGGGGCGACAGAGGGGCTGCGAAACATAAGTTGAAGTAACAATACGAGCGAGATAGTATGCTGTGGAGCAATTAGTTCGTGTCTTAGGCTGTTGTTATGCATATTACATCCTTCCGTGCTTTAACGCCTGCTTAATGATTTAAAACGGTGCTACAACTTGAATTTCAGTTCATGTAAGTAAGAAAGTTAAGATA